CCGAAGAACGGCGGTAACTCCTCCCCCTCGAGCCGCCCGGCCTGGGGCCAGGGTGAGCTACGAGAGCCGCTCTCCCGGCTCCGCCTCCCGCTCACGCTCTGCTTCCGCCTTCCGTCCCCGCCGCCGCCGCCGACCTGGCCCTACTTCCACTTCCGGGGTCACCAGGGAAGAGACGGGAAGGAAAAGAAATAGTGGTTGGCTGAGAGGCGAGCCAGTCCAGCTAGTGCTGCGTCGACTCCAAGGAGGCGGTCCTAAGGAAGTATTGGCTCCGCCATTTAAAGACCCCTCCCTCCGCGTGTGGGAATAGGATTCCCGCAGGTTGCACCGCTGGAAGGAAGGCAAGTGGGCTCTGCACCAATGCCTGCAGACTAAGGGCAGACTCTCAGGGTTGCTCTGGGTGTATTCCTGGGCTTTGTATTCCTGGGAGATGGAGGGCAGCCACCGAGCCACACGTAGTCTGTTTCCCTTGCAGACAAAACCGGGGAGCTCTGAAGAGTCACTGCCCTGATCCCTTCCGTGCTGGCAGCTGCGAGGACAGAGGCCCCTTTGTATCCTGCGGTGCGGAGGTGGAGCAGAGGAGAGGGTGCCCCGGACTGGCCCCCACCCTCGCCCTGCAGCGCTGCCCCTCCTTTCACAGCAACCCACGGCCTCCCCCTCGCTTGACCCAGCTGGCGAGCTGCCCCTTATACCTGGATCCGCCCCTTGGGACGCAGCTCCCCTGGCCCGATCACCGAGCGGTGCCTAGGAACTGGGAGCATAACTCAGCTCGGCTCAGAACCTTACCCGAGAGCCAAAGAATACTGAACTCATCTACATGCTGCTTGACATCTTATCTGCATACCAAGCTATTTGGTGGACGTCCACATGCGCCCCCGACTCCCGTTCCGTCGGTGCCCTCCTCTGCACACGGCTCTAGCCTTATACCTCTCCTGTCAGTGCCCCTTCCAGGCCCCGTCTTGATCCGAAAGTTTTTCCACCCATGAACCCCCCGCTGGCGCTCCCAGCCTAGCAAAAGCCCCTTCCCTGGGTCCACGATCCCGACCACCCGGCTCTCCAGAAGACAATACTCCAATTCTCTGGGAAGTGGAAGAAACCAAGCTAGAGCTAGGGGGGCGCTGGGACCCCTATTGGGGCTTTGAGAGCTTCCGGTTGTCATCTCCTAAGTATTCGGAGACCCTTCTCCGAAACTCTTGGGGTGACTCTCAAGACTCTTACCTGCTATATAGTTGGGGGTCTCTGGTCCTGGACTAGAGCAGTAGGCAACCTAGGTCCCCACACACACAGGGGAAAGAGTTGGAGGGGCCTGCCTTGTGATGTCACCCCCCCCTCCACCCACCGCGGACG